TCATTTGTGCAAAACCGTGTAAAAATGCATATTTGCACATACATCTGGATGAGGTGTTTGAATTCAACTCACGGATATTTGCGGTGCAGCCTGTGGCGAATTTTGGAGTTCTTACCATGCCTTGCTTCTCCTCGGATTTTCAGCTGCTCGCTTCATTAAGCTCTTTTTTTTTCAGACATTTGAGCGAGTTGTTGTGCAGAATATATTGCATGGGCTTAGCCCATCTCTTTCTGATGCTATTGGTTCCGTTTCGCGGTGGAGGTTCGTTCGCGCAGCTTTCCCTCATATTGTTCAGGTAAACCTCAAAAATTTACGCAGCACATGCCTTTCGCCTTCCATTCATCACTGATGAGCCTGGAATCAACTTAAAGCCATTGTAATTCTTTTATCAACGTATTCCATCAAGAAAAGCTCTGAACCGTGGTCTGCTACAACGAGATGATGCACGTTTAGCATGAATGTAAAGATTAACAAGTGTGTGAGCGGGTTCTTTTTTCATAAAGGTCTTGAGGAGACTTTGTTTGTGCTGAATACTTTATGGTAATTTCAGTGCTGCGCATCGCTGCTCTCGGAAGCCGCTGGACGCGAAGATGCACCGATGAGCGGGTCATTGGTCAAAATGCTTTATATTCTGCACTGGCTTCTGCTCGACTCTGCCAACGAGTGCTGCGACATAGACAGTGGCAAGGTGTGCTATTTGAAGTCGCCTTTGTCATTTTTTGTCCCAGTATTCTGCAGATCTTTCGATCACTTACGCCTCTTCCAGGACCTCCCAGCTTTTCAAGTTTCTTTAATCAAGTCTCTTGTTTGATCCACTGGATTCAGTTTTTGGGCGCAAGATCACTAACTGTTAGCATTAAAGCGTTAGCTAGATGATTTCAGAAGAAGACAGAATTATGCCCATTGAAACCCCTCGCTGAATTTCCTCGAAGGCATTGTTAATTCTGGATAACTGTTCTTCGTTTCTCGTTTGGATTTCTAATTTTGTTTTTATTGAAAATTTCAGAATTCTTGCAACGACATAACACCGAAGGTAAATATTTCTATTCAATAAATTCACGGATAATTAAGTATTTGCATTGCAAGAGCACAGCAG